TGAGACGACTACATCGGATTGATGTAGTCTACATAGAAGTAATAAATATTTGTTTTCTTTTCAAGATCTCTTGTTCTTAAAACTTAAAGAGCTATTTGTTTTGATAAAATGAGGATGATGTCATCATCTCAAATTTTCTAGATGCAGTACCACTTTCAGAAGATGTTTCATAGTTTTGGAACGAAATCTTAATAAATTGCGTCTATTTTTCTTTCATCAAAATTAAATGACACCTTATCACTGCTTTTGTATGGCAATATAAATTGCTGTACTGTAATCTCGTCTTTTTCTGGTTTAATTGCCAAAAACTGATCTTTTTGCTGATAAAAGATAACACTTCTATGTAAATTATAATATGGACTTAAGCATTCCTAGTCATAGAATCATCATCACGACATGAAACCAGTTATGTGAAAAAGAACGGAACGAAGATAGGCACACAGTATACAAAGCAGATCATAGTAGTTAACACCGATGGCTGCAGTGTTGAAGGTCCTTGAAACATTTTCTAAACGTTTGAAAAATATTATGAACATCAAATAATGTTATAAAAATGTTTTGGGGACATTTTCTTTCCAGTGCCTGAAAAATGTTTTTAAAATGTTTTTAGAAGATGTTTTTGGTTGATATCTATATCATATCAATATAAAATTTTCTGTACTTTAAATTATGTTTCCAGCTTTTTAATATAACAAATCATTAGTTTAATAGATAAACAAAGATTCATTCTATATACAAACAAGTAGAATAAATCAGTTGTTTTACTAAACATATGACAATTCACAATTCAAAGTACATGTATCTAAAAACAGGAAGTAAATACAAGTTTTGACATATCCAAAATGGCAGACACAACTCATCATTGATGATCATGGTTAAGCCACTAGCCAAATATGAAGATATTCTGTTCTGCAGCATTACCGATAGAAGTCATTGAAAAATTGTGTTCATTCAACATACTGAAATATAAGCCAACAGGAAACACGTACATTGTGTACATGAGTGACAGATACAAAGGCTCACACATCACAGTTCATCACTATCAAACAGCTCACCATATATGAACTCATCCAGTTCAGCAGTATTTGGGAAATTAGTAATGAAAATATTTGTTGGACAAAGATAGATGGACAGACAGGCACTGCAATAAAGCCCACATTCCTACTGAATGCCAATGGTTTAATGATTAGTTTTTCACTCTCAATCTTTATTACCTCTATAATATACATCATACACATGCCATCCTGAACATGCATGAAATATTTGCCACTGGACATTAGGCAAACATCAACCAATTCATTATACACATTTTAAAGTTGAGGTTACATTAACTTGAACTTGTGTCACAAATTCAGATTTTTCAAAATAACTTCTCCATGTTCTCCATCTTAACAAAAAATGTTACACTTCTGGTAAGATTATATCAAAAGTCAATAATTGGCTTAAGAGATAAAGAGCAAAACACTATTTTGCATTAATAATTTGATTTATTTAAGAATACATTTGAAAAGTCCATCAATTGTCTTATTCAGAATCACTTGGAATGTCTTGTAGAGTCTTAAATCTTTTTCTTGTGCCATGCATGCTTCTGAAAAAAATTAATAAAAAAAAATTATTAATCTTACATTTTATGATTTATATATAAACTTCTTAAATATTCCTTTATTAGTGAACAAATCAAGATGCCTGAAGGACACACAGCCCCTCCTCCCTAAAAGTTTTGAAACAAATAACAAGTAGTCTCACAATGAACAATGATCATGATGAAGATATTAACAAATTCTAATATGGCATTTATGTTATCCTTTTAATAATATATATACATGTATATAGCATTAAACAGGATCAAATATACAATGTACAGAACAGATAAAAACCTTTTTCATTCAATCCATAAAGGGCTTAATTGCCATTCATTAAAGCTGGACTTCATTTTGTAATAAGAAAAAAAAATAAAGAAAATTGGGACTTCAGATGTGTTTAGTCAAGAGCCTGTTATTTCTTATACTCATTGATTGATGTCTATCATATTTGTTTGGTGTATTGTTTTGATATAAATCAGGCTTTTTGGTTTTCTTGTTTTGTTTTGGGTTTTTTTTTTGGAGGGGGGGGGCATTTTATCATGAGGGGCCTGTAAAAGCCTGCTTCATTTCATATCTTACATGTATTGTCTTTTTAATTATTAAAATCTTTACGGTGACATAGGATACAGTTTATATTTGTTATTTGTATCTAAGGGCATACAATCAGTACTAGGGGTAGTGGTAAATTATAACTTTTCAAAAATTTACATATTGTTTTTCGTGATGTTGCTAATAAAACTCAAACTTTCGGGGAACACACATACGTAATTAAATCAGATGTTTATATTTGAAAGCATTTTCAAATGAAAGCAAAGATGTTGTTTATCATTTTTATGAAAGCACACTGTTGAACTAAAAGCTTGATTAAAAAATAAACAACTTTTTTCTATATTGTCACAAAAAAATAATTTAATCAACATGTTTAAAAATCCAGAGATCTTTTTCTTTATTATTGTACTGTTAATGCTAAAAATTTGAATTAGAATGTGAATATATATGAAATGACAGTAACCTTGTATGAAAATCTTACCGGGTACTTCCAAAAAAAATTTTCCTCCTGAATGGTTGTGTCAACTTGTGGACATTCCAAAGTAACAGTGCCACTTCCAAATTGTAAACCTACATATTGAACTAGTCCTCTGTGGCTTTTCTTATAGCTGAGGGCCTGCTCCTGTTGAAAAAAAAAGATAATTACATTTCTGTTTCGGTTTCATAGACATGATAGAAAACACGAATCAGTTATTTATCTTGTGCTTAGTGTTAGTGTTTCATGTTGTACTTGTTTTGTGCCTCTCAACAGTCTATTGAGTCTTGCCTTTTGCAACAGTTGCTGTTGTTTATGTGACATGTCTGTCGTTTTAACTTTTTATAATGTGTATTGTTATAAATTTAGGCCGCTAGGTTTTTTTGTTTGTTTCAATTAACTTGGAGAACACATTTTGTTTGTCAAGGCCTTTAAAAGTGCACTATACAGAGTGGGTTTTCTCATTGTTGAAGGCTGTACATGTACAGTGAGCTATAATTTCTCATATCCAAGTCATCTAAATTCTGGTGAATGGTGATTCTAATGTGATGTCCTTGTTATGCTTTGTAAACAAAGCCGTGTTCTAACTAGCACAAAATATGTTTTAAACATAAGCACAAATTTACTGTTTATATTCTCTGCATTTTCATTGTTATTCTGATAAAAAATATACATTTTAGCAGCTAACATGAAACTTTTATTATATGTTTTTATCAAACAACATATATTTACCCTGTTTTTAGATTTTAGCTTACGCTCAGTGTAAAATGTCGACAAATATAATGCCTACCCATGTTAAAATGAGCATAGAGCATGACATGAAGGAATCATTTCTTAAATAGCTGCATCATCATGATCATTGACATTGATAATACACCTTATCGCTATGTGGAAATCTGTCCCTATTGACCCAAGAATCTGTCCCGCTTGAACTTCTGACATCATACATTGTACAACAATCACGGGATAAGGTGTATCAAACACAAGTCACATCTACTTATTTATATCAATGCCATGGACAAATTCATAATTGGTGTACTTGGATGCTGGAACAGTGGCAGATTTAGGGGGCCCCAAACCCTCATAAAGCTACATATAAGATAAATACATGAATACATGGACTTCACTATAATTTTACAAGTATCACTCCAAACATTGGCCTGCCAGCCAGGCACAGGGGTTTGTTACAATTTGCTTGCTTAATATATAGGGAATATGTCAAAGAGACAACAACCCTACCAAAGAGCAGATAACAGCCGAAGGCCACCAATGGGTCTTCAATACAGCGAGACAATCCCACACCCAGAGGTGGTCCTCAGCTGGCCCCTAAATAAAATTGTGTACTGGTTCAGTGAAAATAGACGTCACATTGAACTCCAAAACATATAAAGGAAGCTGAACTAAAATTAAAAAAAACATACAAGACTAACAAAGGCCAGAGGCTCCTGACTTGGGACAGGCACAAAAATGCGGTGGGGTATAAACATGTTATTTGAGATCTCAACCCTCCCCCAATACCTCTAGCCAATGTAGAATAAAGAAACGCATAGCAATACGCACAGTAAAACTCAGTTTAAAAGAAGTCTGAGTCGATGTCAGAGTAGGTAATAAAAGAAACTAAGCAAAATGACAATGATACATAAATTAACAAAGGACTACTAGCAGTTACTGACATGCCAGCTCCAGACCTCAATTAAACTGATTGAAAGATTATGTCTTCATCATATGAAAATCAGGTACAATTCCTCCCGTTAGGGGTTTATTATCATACCATCATAAAATATATGAGAAGAACATAACCTGTATCATGCCAACAACTGGTTTTAGAATAAATGTTTATTTCCGATGCAAAGACCCTATGAGTGAATCAATATTAATACCAAATTATGCAATCCTTAATGACCTGGGTCTGACAACAGTACCGTAACTATATCCCTTCCGAATAAGTCTGTTTAAAGGTTTGGTTATCTTTTGAGTTGAATGCCGACATTTTTGTGCTTTGTAAAGAATATTACCATAAAATATTGGATGTGAACGTATAAGATGTCTGCATGTTGATATGTACATTTATTGTATAAATTTCCCTTAAAAAAATATGGTCGTCTTAATATCCATGAAATATTTGCAACTGAGATTTAATCAAATATGGGAGTCCAGAATATCCATGAAATATTTGCCACTGGGAATTAAGCAAACTACCGGGTACAATCAATCAATCATGGAACTCGGTTATAAATGTATACCAAAATCTGTTCCTTAAATTTGAAATTTAATCAATGTGAATTAACACAATTCTTAAATCTGGAATTTATTTATTGAATATAAAAATAAGAAGATATGGTATGATTGCCAATGAGAGACAACTCTCCACAAGAGACTAAATGACACTTAAGTTAACAACTAAAGGTCATCATACCGTCTTCAAAATGAGTAAAACCCATACCGCATAGTCAACTATAAAAGGCCACAAATGACAAATTTTATTGTAAAGTACATTTTTATATGTATGAATTATTGTAGTAAATATAATATATACAGGTAAATATAAATGATTACAAATTATTTAACAAGTGGTTCTTGAAAATTGACAAGGCAGGATGCCACAAAAACCATCTGATCAGCTATTATTGGTGACAATGAGAGAGGAATATTCCCGCTAAGTAACTTAAATTTCTTGATTCGTTCTAAAACTCTTTCTACAATGTACATGAATTCCTGCTTTAGCAATACGCCGCTGGTTTTCAACTCTTCTTCTGGAGTGAATTTGGTTCTTTTGCCATGAAATGGTGGTATATTTAAAACTGCTTGTCATGACATTAATAAGTCTTCAATGGTGAACCCACGATCTGCTAAGATGAGATCTCCAGGATTAATAAAATCTAAAAATCCACTTTTTTCAATTATTGCCTTATCACTTTATCAAGTTTATATTGACCCTTCAAACAGATCAGAAACAATTATACTATTGCTCCATTTGGGGCTACTCCAATCAGACTTTTGTATGCGTGGTGATTTTTGTATGAAGAATATAAAATTCCTTGGCAGCGTAAATCTCTTGGCATCTGCACAGAATCTTATATTCTTTAATGTTTTAAATACACAAGGTAAATTATTCCGGAAATGTTGTCTTTCTGGAAACATTATACTATGATAGGAATTAAAGTGGCAATAAAAAGTTGCATCCATCATGTCCATGTGTTGAAAATCACTCTCACTGTGAAGACGAAGAAATTCCAAAAAAATGAGCCATTGTGTCAATACTGTAGCCCCTCCTGAATCGAACTAGTGTAAGGAAAAGTTCTTCTTCTGGTGAAAGTTTCTGAGTGCCTTTCTTACTATTTTCTTTCAAATTTTTACCATCCCAATATGAAAGGTTATTTACACTATCACCAAGGAATTCAATTAATGCTAAAAGCTGATCATAGAATAATCCAGTACATAGCTTCATTTTAACATCACCATCTTTAATACTTAAGAGTGACAAAGGTGTACTTTTAGCTGAATCACATTTGTCATCACACCTAGTTAACTTAATCTCATTCTTCAAAAGCATGATTTCAATTTTGGCATTAAGAAAATTTTTCTATTTAATAGTTTGAACTTCTTTATGTTCTGTTGGTAAGCTGTCTGTTTGTGTTCCCTTTTCACATCCAACAGTCAAACTTTCTGTACAAGCAACTTTAGACTGAAAAAAAAAGAACAAAATTTACTTGAACGCCTACATTCATGTCGACAACAAAAAGAAATAATATAAAATAATAATATTTATGGTTTAAACATTATTAATATTATAGATAGATCAGTTTTGGCACAACTAATATTTTGAACAATGCATATGCCCCATAGAGACTGTAGTTGCCATGTACAATGTACATGTATACATGTATGAACATGTATTCACAAAAAGTTACTTATTTGGCTTTACATGCTTTATAAACAATATAATATACATGTACAAGACTTTATGTCAATATCATGTATATGAAGAAAAAAGAAATTCTAACATGACGTTTTTCAAAAGCTTTGAGTACACACCCGTGGTAAAATATGAATATTTTGTTTGGGCTGTTCCGATCGTACTCCCGCGTCATATGATTTTTTATGAATGAGCTACCCGACGTCATAGAACGATGACGTAAGAATATAAGCATTCTACGGGAAAACACATGCTTGTGAAACCTAAAATCACCACAAGAAGGAAACGTAAACAAACGATGCTAAAATGTGTTATATAAGCCATTTTTTGGATACATATAAGACATATAAGTCAGTACAATTATCATTTAGATTCATCCAAACCTATCTAAATATGTTATTGTAAATAGTTTAAGCATGTCATTTATTCAGTTTGCTCCGGTCTTTTACTTCAGTTTAATAGTGTGTTTATTTATGGGAACGGCAAATAATGCCTTCATCTAGAGCGCTTCGATCCAAAACAATTGCTGTATTTGTCCTATTAGAATCGAAATAATTCATGGAGGCTTGAATATATCTTGATTTTACCACGGGTTGTCCCTTTAAGCTGATATTTTACCCCTCGCTATCGCTCAGGGTAAAATATTTGTCATAAAGCGCCAACCTGTGGTAAAATCACGATATATTCAAGCCCCCATGAATTATTTCTTAATTATAGTTCAGAACAATATTAAAATGTCTTCATCATGAAATTAAATACCTCAGGATCCAAAGATACACTGGACAAAGATTCATGCTCAGGTACCAGTTGATTAGATAACTGAAGGAGACATTCTGCTGCTGCGGATACATCTTTTTTTGAAACCTTAAAAGGTTTGCTTCTTGGTGTCTGTGCTTTTCTTTTCCTTTGGAACCGGCGAAGCTGAAAAGAAAGTCAAGTTTACTTTTTTTTTTGTATCTATTTTTTTTCCCTTTCACTTGACTAAAGGTTTCAAGTTCATTAAGTATATGCGAACATTGTGCAATAATATTCTCGACTATAACAGTGGTGGATCCAGGGGTGAGAAACCCCCTTTTTTTTTGGATGATCAATGCATTTGAATGGTATCGGGTCCGTTCGTGCCCAATACACGTTCGCACCCACACGTTAGCCCCCTGGGCCCATTCGCACCCTTTTTTTTTATTCAAAAACCTGATGAATTATTAGATGTTTTTTAAGATGTTTATCTCAAAATATTTTTATTTTCATAAATAAAAATTCTGCAATTTTTAATTTTTTTAAATGAAATATTATTTTAAATTGATTTGATGCTTAATTATTATATGTTAATTATGTATGATTACTGTTAATATATGGTGTTTACACAGCTAAACTTGATGTAAATTCTGCATGTATTTAGCTTGGTATGAGTAAAAACAATTAAGATTCAAAATGTTTTTGTTGTTGAGTTTAATAGCGGTTTGGTATCTTAACCATGTTAACATTAAAATAATATTAAACACAAAAAACCTTTTTAGAAAGTCACTTTATTTTGAAACAATGAAAAAAAAATATAAATATAGCAATACACTAACCAATACAACTAACCAAAACACAATTAAAAAAATATTCAACACAAAAAAATGTCACTTTATTTTGAATGTTTTGAAACAATGAAAAAAAAACTTATTAAAAGCAATACAATAACCAAAACACGATTAAAAAACTATTCAACACAAAAATCGTTTTTAGAAAGTCACTTCATTTTGAAACAATGAACAAAAAAATATTTATAGCAATACACTAACCAAAATACGATTTAAAAATTATTTAACACAAAATCAATAAAAAAAGGGTGCAAACGTGTATGGGGCGAACACAAATTGGAGCGAACGGACCTGGATTCCATTTGAATGGGGACATATAGTTGGAACCCCCCCCCCCCCTTTATCCTGGGTTGGGAACCCCTCCCCTTTAAAAAATGGCTGGATCCACCCCTGTATAACTATTAATTTCTAGCCTATTCAGCTGTTATGAAAATAATCTCATTCACAATCTTACATCAATCAGGTGTACAAAATGTTCACAAGATTGTGTACAAGCAGTGTGGGATTAACAACGATAAATAATAAATAAATAAAGTCATGTTTAAATTGTGTATTGATCATGATACAATTTACACAAAAACGGACAATAAGTATTTTTAATCAATCTCAAATTTAAAGCAAGAATGCTTACATACAGCACGTATTATAATGTACTGATAAAAAATGTAAACATTGATGATCGAAATACACTCACCTGTTCGTCTTTCTGTAACAGTGCAGGCATCGGGTCGGGATGAATGTCAGTTGGTCCTTTACCACCGACGAAGTGTTTACTGCACATGTAAGTATAACGTTTGATCTTGTCTACATTGAAATCTTCCTGGAGTCTCCCACATGCCTTAATCCATCTTTCACATTTCTCCCTCTGAGTTATAGGCTTGGGAAAAGGAATGAAAAAAACATCCTTCATGTCATCACGATGTCTGTATCGGGTGTCACTGTTACATATCCCATAACAACAATGTTTTACACCTTCAGACTTATGTTTCACCTGAACAGCATCCATCTAATTAGACTTTATCAATGAAATAACGTTACGATTTACAATCATACATACGCCATGCTTGTAATGTTTGTATGACATCCGGGCACTTACTGATTGACCTGATTAGAGGGGTAAATTCAGTAAAAAATCTCCCATTGACTTTAATGCTAATCTATGTCTTGAATTAAATTTATACCTGATTTACCTTTAGAAATTGGAAGCTTTCATATATCATTCATGAAAGTACAAATGTAGCCCTATCTTTTGCAACAATAAAAACATAGGGTCATGTGGCATTTTTGGGCATTCACATGGCCTTGTTTACAAACACTGTAGATTCGCACTTAATTCCTTTACTGACCCCCATTACTTTTCAACCCTGTAGTAAAAAAATTTAGTACATTCAGCATTCATTTTTTAATTTTTTTTAACTCTAGTTTTGATCCATCTATCAAAAAATATTTATTACAAACTTTATCTACCAATCAGAAGAGCACAGGACTTCAGTTTTGTACAGAAAGCCCTCCCCTAAATGGGCGGTCCCTGATGACGTATATTTATTTACTGAATTTACCCCTATAAGGGACTTTTTAACTTCTTTTCCTATTTTTGTTGTATTAATCATGTAAATTGTATCCAATTTTCAAGTTCCAGTTTCAATACAACATTCATAAAGGCTGAACTTGTAAAGAGGGAGGAAAATTTATACTACAGCCCATACTGCGGCCAATGTATATTTGGTATATAAAGTTGCACATTGACTGTTTTTAAAAGAATGGTGTAAAATACTATGCTTAATAAATATGAATTGTTTTCTGTGTTTGCTTTGATCAGTATTGCAAGTACATCTAGGAACTAAAGTCTTGATGTACTCTTAGTTAAATTTTGCCTTATATGGAAGATTTTAATTAAATACCCTGAAAAAGACCACAAAAAGACTTTTCAAAGGTTTTTTAAGCAGTTTCATACCATAAAAAACAACAATTATGTTTCATTTTACTAAATCTGTGTTTTAATTACTTGTAAATTTCACAAAATGTCATTGACAACCTCTCTGCAGAAATTCCTGTTACCACAACATCAGGATGGTTTCTTCGCCAAAACTAGACGGACAAAACTGAAGTAGAAAAAAGTGCCAAATATGAAAAAAATAAGACTGGGTATGACCAAACTTTGCATTTGGAACATAAAAGTAACAATTTAGAATATTAAAAAGCAATTATTTAACATAGCAATCCAATTACAAACATTTCAACACTAGTTTTATAGATGAAGGATATATAATAATGAAAACTTGTCTAGTATTTTTTTTTACTTAAAGAAACGCAATGAATTATGTAAAAATAAATGAATATCTTCATACGGTCAGATTATTCCAGTGTTAAAATACTTGAAAAGTGCTTATTTACAACATGATCTACAACTTAACATGGGGAACACAGCTAAAAAAAATACACTATGTCAAAGGGAGGTAATTCTGATTTTCCATATGATTTTACACATTATTAGGAGAAATATGTTCAAATGTGATTTAAAATGGGGAGAATATTTATGCCTTTTAATAATATCATAACTCTCAAGTGTAATTTCTATTGTTTCTTTCAATCTGGACACAAAACTGATTTTTTACCATATACCCCATGCTTCCTCCCACAGTACACTCAGAGCATCCTGGATAGCCGCGGTTAAACATAGAAATTTGTATAAAAACAACTTTAACTGGTTCCAATAACTTCCATTGCATTAATATTTACAGGAAATGAGTTTTGTGATTATTGTGTGGCCTTGAACAAGTACAGTGACAGAGTGCATATTTTCCTATAGGGGTAAATTCAGTAAAAAATCTCCCATTGACTTTAATGCTAATCTATGTCTTGAATTAAATTTATACCTGATTTACCTTTAGAAATTGGAAGCTTTCATATATCATTCATGAAAGTACAAATGTAGCCCTATCTTTTGCAACAATAAAAACATAGGGTCATGCGGCATTTTTGGGCATTCACATGGCCTTGTTTACAAACACTGTAGATTCGCACTTAATTCCTTTACTGACCCCCATTACATTTTCAACCCTGTAGATAAAAAATTTAGTACATTCAGCATTCATTTTTTTATTTTTTTTAACTCTAGTTTTGATCCATCTATCAAAAAATATTTATTACAAACTTTATCTACCAATCAGAAGAGCACAGGACTTCAGTTTTGTACAGAAAGCCCTCCCCTAAATGGGCTGTCCCTGATGACGTATATTTATTTACTGAATTTACCCCTATAAGGGACTTTTTAACTTCTTTTCCTATTTTTGTTGTATTAATCATGTAATGTATCCAATTTTCAAGTTCCAGTTTCAATACAACATTCATAAAGGCTGAACTTGTAAAGAGGGAGGAAAATTTATACTACAGCCCATACTGCGGCCAATGTATATTTGGTATATAAAGTTGCACATTGACTGTTTTTAAAAGAATGGTGTAAAATACTATGCTTAATAAATATGAATTGTTTTCTGTGTTTGCTTTGATCAGTATTGCAAGTACATCTAGGAACTAAAGTCTTGATGTACTCTTAGTTAAATTTTGCCTTACATGGAAGATTTTAATTAAATACCCTGAAAAAGACCACAAAAAGACTTTTCAAAGGTTTTTTAAGCAGTTTCATACCATAAAAAACAACAATTATGTTTCATTTTACTAAATCTGTGTTTTAATTACTTGTAAATTTCACAAAATGTCATTGACAACCTCTCTGCAGAAATTCCTGTTACCACAACATCAGGATGGTTTCTTCGCCAAAACTAGACGGACAAAACTGAAGTAGAAAAAAGTGCCAAATATGAAAAAAATAAGACTGGGTATGACCAAACTTTGCATTTGGAACATAAAAGTAACAATTTAGAATATTAAAAAGCAATTATTTAACATAGCAATCCAATTACAAACATTTCAACACTAGTTTTATAGATGAAGGATATATAATAATGAAAAGTTGTCTAGTATTTTTTTTTACTTAAAGAAACGCAATGAATTATGTAAAAATAAATGAATATCTTCATACGGTCAGATTATTCCAGTGTTAAAATACTTGAAAAGTGCTTATTTACAACATGATCTACAACTTAACATGGGGAACACAGCTAAAAAAAATACACTGTCAAAGGGAGGTAATTCTGATTTTCCATATGATTTTACACATTATTAGGAGAAATATGTTCAAATGTGATTTAAAATGGGGAGAATATTTATGCCTTTTAATAATATCATAACTCTCAAGTGTAATTTCTATTGTTTCTTTCAATCTGGACACAAAACTGATTTTTTACCATATACCCCATGCTTCCTCCCACAGTACACTCAGAGCATCCTGGATAGCCGCGGTTAAACATAGAAATTTGTATAAAAACAACTTTAACTGGTTCCAATAACTTCCATTGCATTAATATTTACAGGAAATGAGTTTTGTGATTATTGTGTGGCCTTGAACAAGTACAGTGACAGAGTGCATATTTTCCTATAAGGGACTTTTTAACTTCTTTTCCTATTTTTGTTGTATTAATCATGTAATGTATCCAATTTTCAAGTTCCAGTTTCAATACAACATTCATAAAGGCTGAACTTGTAAAGAGGGAGGAAAATTTATTATACAGCCCATACTGCGGCCAATGTATATTTGGTATATAAAGTTGCACATTGACTGTTTTTAAAAGAATGGTGTAAAATACTATGCTTAATAAATATGAATTGTTTTCTGTGTTTGCTTTGATCAGTATTGCAAGTACATCTAGGAACTAAAGTCTTGATGTACTCTTAGTTAAATTTTGCCTTACATGGAAGATTTTAATTAAATACCCTGAAAAAGACCACAAAAAGACTTTTCAAAGGTTTTTTAAGCAGTTTCATACCATAAAAAACAACAATTATGTTTCATTTTACTAAATCTGTGTTTTAATTACTTGTAAATTTCACAAAATGTCATTGACAACCTCTCTGCAGAAATTCCTGTTACCACAACATCAGGATGGTTTCTTCGCCAAAACTAGACGGACAAAACTGAAGTAGAAAAAAGTGCCAAATATGAAAAAAATAAGACTGGGTATGACCAAACTTTGCATTTGGAACATAAAAGTAACAATTTAGAATATTAAAAAGCAATTATTTAACATAGCAATCCAATTACAAACATTTCAACACTAGTTTTATAGATGAAGGATATATAATAATGAAAAGTTGTCTAGTATTTTTTTTTACTTAAAGAAACGCAATGAATTATGTAAAAATAAATGAATATCTTCATACGGTCAGATTATTCCAGTGTTAAAATACTTGAAAAGTGCTTATTTACAACATGATCTACAACTTAACATGGGGAACACAGCTAAAAAAAATACACTGTCAAAGGGAGGTAATTCTGATTTTCCATATGATTTTACACATTATTAGGAGAAATATGTTCAAATGTGATTTAAAATGGGGAGAATATTTATGCCTTTTAATAATATCATAACTCTCAAGTGTAATTTCTATTGTTTCTTTCAATCTGGACACAAAACTGATTTTTTTACCATATACCCCATGCTTCCTCCCACAGTACACTCAGAGCATCCTGGATAGCCGCGGTTAAACATAGAAATTTGTATAAAAACAACTTTAACTGGTTCCAATAACTTCCATTGCATTAATATTTACAGGAAATGAGTTTTGTGATTATTGTGTGGCCTTGAACAAGTACAGTGACAGAGTGCATATTTTCCTATAAGGGACTTTTTAACTTCTTTTCCTATTTTTGTTGTATTAATCATGTAATGTATCCAATTTTCAAGTTCCAGTTTCAATACAACATTCATAAAGGCTGAACTTGTAAAGAGGGAGGAAAATTTATACTACAGCCCATACTGCGGCCAATGTATATTTGGTATATAAAGTTGCACATTGACTGTTTTTAAAAGAATGGTGTAAAATACTATGCTTAATAAATATGAATTGTTTTCTGTGTTTGCTTTGATCAGTATTGCAAGTACATCTAGGAACTAAAGTCTTGATGTACTCTTAGTTAAATTTTGCCTTACATGGAAGATTTTAATTAAATACCCTGAAAAAGA